ACAAACTAGTAGAAATGTAAAGGGTATTTGTGAGACGATTTGGATGTATCCATCAAAATTCAGAATCTTGCCCTGGGAAGCAGTGGAAATGGCTTAAGTAATTGAGTTCCTGCAATCTACATGGGATTGAATTCCTGGCTCCTGGCTTTGGCCTGGCCCAACCCTGGCTGCTGCAGACATCTGGAAGTGAATCAGTAGATGGAAGTGCGCTCTCTCTCTTTCTCTTCCTCCCAAATAAATGAATACATAAATAAATTTAAAATCACATACCCTTTAGGTCCCATCAATCCTACTTGAGGGGAACTATCTCAAAGACATTCTTGGATCTGTGCCCAAAAATCCATGTGCAAGGAAATACGTTAGAGGATTGTTTGTAGTGGAGAAAGGAAGGACACAACGTCAGTGTCCATCAACAACGAGGAGGGACCTTGAACTGCTAAGAATGAGACAGACACAAACCCACTCAGGTGGAAAGGTCTCCAAGATGATTGTGAAAAGCCAAAAATAGCAAATGCATATAGCATTGCTTATTTATGTTTATTAAGATGATCGCACACACATGTATGAAGAGATGTTCTGCATAACCAATTAACATTAGTGTGTATAGGAAAAGGACTGGAAGGAAGTTCACCAGAGTTCAGAATATTTTGTTTGCAGGTGGAGTAGTTGTAGGGAAGCTTCCACGTCTTCCCCTAAAGACTTCCATATGTTAAACCTCACACATTGAGAATGTATTTGTATATTACTGATCAAGTAAAAATAAAACAATGAATTCAAATTAAGTTCCCTTCATATGTGCACCCTTGTATTATTTGCTTTTTGTTCTGTTTCTCTTAAGCATTTTCCTCTTTATAAACTTACTATATGTTCAGCGTTCAAATCACCACAATAAAAACAAAAAAGTATGTAAATAAAAAATAATCATCCCCAACAATCTCATTATTCAGCTAAACTGTTAACATTTTAGTGAAAGAAAAAGGGAGGGAGAAAATGCTATGTATACACAATGCATATATTTAATCAAATTGGTAACAGAATATCAATATAGTTTTGAGCTCTGATTTTTAAAATTTAGCCTAATATTGAGGGCTTTTCTCCATGTCACTATTTATTCTTCAGAAACATGGCTAATTAACGAATGTAAGACATTCCATTACATGAATGTAATGATTTCAATTTTTTCATCATTAGATAGAAGGCAATAATAATTTCTCTCTGCATTTTTTGTCAGTACCTTGTTATTTCCTTATATAGAATCCTAGGAATATATTGGTTTGCTGGGGTGTATGTTATAAGCTTCAACAGCCTCTGGTATATTGCACCAATTTATACATCCACTAGCAAGATATAAAATTTCTCATTTCACCCTGATTGTCATTTCCGTTTTTTAGTATTTTTTAGCTTTGCCATTTTGATGGAGAAAAGACTGTCTAATTGACTTTTTTCATTTTATAAATTTCTTTTGACCCTTTGATTCCTTTGTACTTCCATATAAATTTTGTGTGTGTGTGTTTGTGTGTGTGTGTGTGTGTGTGTTTTGACAGGCAGAGTGGACAGTGAGAGAGAGAGAGACAAAGAGAAAGGTCTTCCTTTTCCGTTGGTTCACCCTCCAATGGCCGCCGCGGCCAGCGCACTGCGGCCGGCGCACTGTGCTGATCCGAAGGCAGGAGCCAGGTGCTTCTCCTGGTCTCTCATGGGGTGCAGGGCCCAAGCACTTGGGCCATCCTCCACTGCACTCCCTGGCCACAGCAGAGGGCTGGCCTGGAAGAGGGGCAACCGGGACAGAATCCGGCGCCCTGACCGGACTAGAACGCGGTGTGCCGGCACCGCAAGGCGGAGGATTAGCCTAGTGAGCCGCGGCGCCGGCCCAGTAGTTCCATATAAATTTTAAGAACTCTTTGTCAATTTCTACAAAATATAAAAACAAAATATAAACCTGCTAGGATTTTGATAAGGATTATATTGAATCTATATGCCAAAACTTGTGAGAGAATTGCCTTCTAAATGATATATCATGGGAGCATGAAATGCATCTCCATTTATTTATACCTTTCTGATTTATCAGAATAATTTTTATGGTTTTCAGTGCACAAATTTAGCACTTCCTTTGTTAAGTATTCCCTTATCCTGAAGTCAAAGAAATAATTCTTATTGTTTTTTTTAAGTGTGAAGCTCTCTTTGCCTTTCGTCTGTTTTTTTGTTTTGTTTTGTTTTAACTGACACATAACAATTACACAAATTTTTGGGGGACAATGTGATATTTTGATACATGTATACTTTGTATAATGATGAAAACAGGGTAATTAGCACATCCATTTCTTTGTGGTAGAACAATTAAAATTCCCTCTTCTAGTACATGTATATATATTGGGTTACCAAAAAAGTTAAAGATTTTTATGTGGTTTTAATTTTTTTTGTTTTCATTCCTTAGCTTTTCCACTGACAAATCCATCATTTTCTTATTCCTCTATGGTATGGATATGTATGAATGCTGATTTATATACACACATTGATTTATATTGACACACACATATTAAAATATTCCCTATGCCACTTTGTCCATCATACGTAACACATTTTTCTGAGATCTGTCTCCCTGTAATTCATTTATGTGTTTTTATGCAAAAATTACATTTTTCTGTACTCAGTTTATAAATCTTTCCATTATGATTTCTTCCTTTGCTTTTATACTCATGTTTCTCTACCCTGCCATGTTTGTTTCTGGAGAAATTTACTCTTTTTTTTAAAGATTGATTTTATTTGTTTGAAAGACAGAGTTACAGAAAGAGGTAGAGACAGAGAGAGAGAGGTCTTCCATCCACTGGATCACTCCCCAAATGGCCACAATGGCCGGAGCTGTGCTGATCTGAAGCCAGGAGCCAGAAGCTTCCTCCGGGTCTCCCACGTAGGTGCAGGATCCCAAGCACTTGGGCCATCTTCTACTGCTTTCCCAGGCCACAGCAGAGAGCTGGATCAGAAGAGGAGCAGCCAGGACTGGAACCGGCACTCATATGGGATGTCGGAGCTTCAGGCCAGGGCTTTAACCTGTTGCGCCACAGTGCCGGCCCCGAGAAATTTACTTTTAAATGTAGCTCAAGTTGTTGGGACATTTGGAAGGGAGCATGATGAGTTCAAGAAAGTTCTAAGTCCAGAGAGAGTTAGCCTAAATGTATTTTTCCCCAAGTAAAACTCAAGGATGCAAATACAATAAATTCACAGAATATAAAGAACCTGTCACAGACCTCCAAGAAGACATTAATCAATGTTCTGTCTTTCTCTGTTGCTTCTTGAAGAAGTGAACTTCAAGTGATAAGCTGGTACCTAACTAATCCAAACAGAGTTCACTGGAGATACAAACAATCTGCCAATCAGAAGGGACACAGTCAGGAACAGGGCCATGCATGCTGAGAAAAATAGCCAGGAGCCAGCCTGAATTATGACACAGAACCCTCCAGAAGAAGATAACTCAGGATGTATGTTGACTTCCATGGGTCATAGTTCTTAAAATACGATTAACAGGGAAAAAAAACCTCACCAATTCATCTGCTTTTTCCAAATACATCAACCCTCTACTATGTCAAGACCTGTTGCATAAGATCTTTGCTTTTATAGAAAGTTTTCCTGCCTTTGACTTCTAAGACACGTTCTACTAGGGGAAATGTTGTGTATATAAAAAAGGAGAGAGAATAGCAGAATGAGCCTCCCTCATCCTACCACCAATATTATTATTAATCAAATTTAACAATTATCAACTCATGATCCACCTGTCTGAGCTACTCCCACCATCTCCCATCTGTTCGTACCATCCCGATCACATCAACATAAATCCCAATCATCTTATCAATTCTTCTGTAAATATTTTAGCATCAAAAAAGGTATTTTAAAGCTATTGTTTCCATTTTAGTGACTGCAAAGCCTACTGTGTTGTTATTTAACTCCTTAGTTGCTGTTACACTTGCTAGGAAGCATGGGGTTCAGTCCTTATATTCTCATTGCTCCTGACATCCTCATCCCACAGCAATCTATCTGGCTGCTCCAATGGAACTGTTATTGCTAAAGATAATGGCCTTCTAGGTGCCAAATCAATGGCAACATTTCAGTACAGTCATGTCTGAGCCATGGGGGTTCCAGGACGCCCCTGAGGATACCAAAATCCACAGATGCTCAAGTCTCTTACATAAAACGACACAGTATTCGCCTATACCTATGCATTCCTTCCATCTAATTTAAACCATCTCTAGATTACTTGTATAACCTAATGCAATGTACATACAATGCAAATAGCTGTTATTCTGCATTGTTCGGGGAATAATGACATGGGGAAAGGTCTGTACATGTTCAGTACAGATGCAACCTATAGGCCTAACCACATAGTATACATCAGCAGTTACCTAACATCGATTTTCAGACTCTTTCTGTTTTGCTTTTGGTTGGACCTCCAAATGTGGAACCCGTGGCTATGGAGGGCCATCCGCCTGGCTGGCCTTCCTCCACATTTAACCCTGCCAGGACCTTCCAACAGAAGTTCTTCTTCTCCTCTCAAGATACAGCCATCACTCTCTGGTGGCTCTCACACTCCCTCTCTCTTTTTCTTTCTCTCTCTCCTGCCACGCTGTCTCTCTTTCTCTCTCTGAACTTTTTCCTTTGGAAGCTATTCAGTTTAGGGAGAGAAGGTAAGAGAAGGAAGGGTGGAATCTCTCACAAGTTCTTCCTGTCCCTTGATGTTGGATGATGTCCACTCATGAGCATTTCTTCAGCTCCACCCCTCCACCCATCAGCAGCGAGCCAGGAGCTGCCAGTCCAACAAAGGCCAGTTTCCTTGTAGCTTACGAATTCTCAAGAAGCTCATTTTCTCCCTTTTCCTTGCCTTTACAAATAATGTTTTCCATTGACTGAAATAGACTTATTGCAACTACACATAACTTGAAATAGACAACTTCTTATTGGAGCAGAAAATGAAAAATGCCTCAAAAGCAGGGACATATACACGATTTGATTACCTCATTGAAGACCTTGGAAACAACATGCTTGTCCAGGATGGGGACATAGGTGGGGCTGTGTGGGACTGTGGTCGCTGACAGGGCATCCGTGATGGTGAGCTTCTTGGCAACCAGGCCGTGGACCTGCAGCCAGTCTGCTGAAGATGTATCTGCAGAGCTAAGGACAATAGACTGGGGTGTTTTAAAACATACAACTTGACAGGCAACAAACACACAAGACTGTCCACATGAATGAAAGCACTCACTCGTCGTCATAAACTTGGCTTCTTTCTTGAATCAATCTTGATGATGAGTTGTCACTCAGACACTCATTTCTCTGTAGGGCAGTTTCTGTGGAAGGAGAAATGACATATATTGTCCTCATAAATAGGGTTTAAATCAAAATGCAACAAGGATCATGTGTACCGTGACTGACATGTGAGGGGACTTCAAAAAATTCACAGAAAGATGGAATTAAAAGATGAGTTTATTTTGGTTCAAAAAATTTTGAAATCAAGCACATGAGGGATCTTCAAAAATTCATGGAAAATGTATATCATGAACAACTACATTGGTTCCAAAAAAATTTTTGGCATCCAAAGACACTTGGCTTTTATTTTATTTTCCATGAATGTTTGCAGTCCCCTCATATTATGTCAAGATGGATTCTCAGGCAAGAATCATTTGCAAGACCAACTTGCATAGGTGAACATGGCACTGTCATTGTTTTGTGTATCTCCGCAGCTCACTTCCTTTGAGTCTCTCTCCATGGAGGGAAGAGCCATACTCATTGTCTGGAAGACACCTCTAAAATATATCCCACAAGCTACCAATAACTACTGACTGCCCAGGGTTGACCTCAGTAGACTTCCTCCGAGTTACATAGGAGAGCCTTGGTCAACATTTCGGTTTCTAATAGTTTGTGTTGTGGTTCCTCAGCTCTACACAGAAAACCAAAAATCCTGTTGGGTTTGTGAACTCAAAATCTCCACATTAATATCTGGGGATTTAAATGTATACCCTTACACAAGCTTGGATTAGGAGTATATGTGGGTGTGAGTTAACTAAATGTCTAAGAAGTCATACCATAATCATCATAGGACAAGCTCTTCAAGGAGTGTGCATGTAGCAACTGATGGGCTCACCGAAACCCAGGAAACTACATCACACAGATTAGCACTGCGGGAGACACATGAGGTGTGCATTTGTCACCCATGCTTCCTGCTACCTAGGGGACTGTATGCATGCATGTTTGGGATTTATTATTTATCAAGTATGAGGGACCTTCAAAAAGTTAATGGAAAATGTGTGCCATACAAAAACTATGCACAGGTTACAAAAAAAATTTTGTACCAAAATAAACACCTTTAATTATATTTTTCTATGAAATTTCTGCAATACTCTTTCACTTGAAAAATAAGGAAAAGCACTATAGGAATTAAACTTTTTTAAAAATCTATTACTTCGATAATAATAATCCTATCAATAGGAATAAATATTGAGTGGGAATATATTTTCCTCACATTTCACTCCCAAAAGCTGACAATTTGGAGCCAGAGAGGTCTGGTCCAACTTGGCTCATTGGATGGTACCACTTGTGAATGAAGGAAAGAAAATAAATCAACCATGAAGTATTTGAGTTTAAAATGCAAATCACAGAGTGGCAGTGAGCATTACCACTAGCATTGCAATTTATTTTTTTTGAAAGGCAGAGTGACAGAGAGAGAGGGAGACACAGAAAGAGATCTCCCATCTGCTGGTTCACTCCGTAAGTGGCGCAAGGGCCAGGGCTGAGCCAGGACAAAGCCAGGAGTCAGAACTCCTTCCACGTCTTCTGTGTGGGTATCAGGATCCCAAGCACTTGGGCCATCTTCCACTGCCTTCCCAGGCTCATTTGCATGTAGCTGCATCAGAAGTGGAGCAGTTAGAACTCATATGGGTGCTCTGATATGCGATGTTAGCTTTGCAAATGGCAGCTTGACCTGCTGTGCCGCAACGCCAGTCTCGTACCAGCACTGTAGTTATGTGAGCCCTGCACGGACTTGTACTAAACACTCAGGTGCAATAAGCGTAAGCGTAGCCCTGAGAAACAGTTCACTAAAGCAGGTAGACGTGACTTACAAGGGATTCATCTGAATAGGAAGCAGTCTGGGCCCATTTAAGTTAGGATTTCCCCCAAACACACCTACACCCAGATGCTTCAGGAGCAAACACACTGAGCAAAGGGAGGCCAGTGTGGGTTTCCTGGGATAGAGACTCTCTGGCTTGCCTTTGTCCTTAGGAGCAGGGTTGCAGCTGCTAGAGATGCAGGGGCTGTCCTTCTCACTGCTGGCTGAGCTCCTGAGGGCTGACATCTGGCTTCTGAGCAGGCTGGTTTTGGTTGATTCTGTAGGTGTCGCATGGAAAAGGGTTAAATCAATTTGTTTGGATCCTTAAGAGTTTCCCAACACTCAGAGGATGGTCCTGCCACAAACTGAATGCCACATAATACTTTGCTTCCCTTATCTGAATTCAAGGGGTACTCCTCCAGGAGAGAAATCCGCTTCCTAGCTTATTCAGGTTGTTGGAAGAATTCAGTCCCTTGCAGTTGTAGGATGGAGGTCTCATTTCCTTTCTCAGCTCCTTAAGCCACCCGATTTCTTCTCACACAGCCCTAGTTAATCTTCAAGCCAGCACTGGGGTACTGAATTCCTCCCCTGGTTCAAAGCTCTTGGACATTCGCTTTTGCTGCTAGCTGGAGAAAGCTCCTGTTTCTACGGGCTTGTGTGATTACACAGGACTCGCCCAGGTAAGCCTGTCTTCAGGCCGATATAACATAGTTGGGAGAGTCATGTCTCATCATATTAAAAAGTTGCATGGCTGGGGGCAGGACGTCTTTGGCAAGCTGTTGTAGAAATTCTGTCTACCACAGTTGCTGTCCAGACCTTTATTTAGATTAGTTTTACTCTCAGTTGGGTCCCTTCAACCAGTAAGTGGGCACTTATCAAATGCTGATATTTAATCTGTATGCTTTAGAGGACCATGAACCTGTGCCAGGACATCTTGGTTCCTTTTCATGGTGTAACCTACACCAAGTGATTGTAGTACACAAGTTAGAGGCTCAAGGGTCAAGGCCTTATGAAAGCTTTCATGAATGGACTGTGTCTGTTTTCAACACAAGGAACTCACCCTCTCCTACATGATACAGATGGTCCGCGTAAACATCAGTTAATAATCTGCCAGTGGCCTATCCTGAGCACAGAAAAGCAACACCAGAATTGTCTCCATGCATGGAGATGGCAGTGTGCTATGTGGCAGTCACTGTTTTTCTGGGTACCAAGAGGGAGTGAGTCCTGTCTTGGTAATCTCTGCCACCAGAAGTTAAGGTAGATAAATTTTCTTGGGAGCTGTGTCTGCAAGCAAAAGAAATAAACGATCCACACAGGAGAGTTCATCTTCTGCTGACTACATTGGCAGCTCCTTCTCCCTAGATCATTACACAGAAACAACCAGATACACGAGTGAGCCAAAATTAAAATGAAATTTACCTAAAAACTGTACTATTTCCCAAACCTGCAGAGACTGAATAAAAACAGGTTTTCCTGGCAGTAGATTCAAGCATTTGCCCCACTTCCGAAACTGTACAGTGACTCACTACAATTCTTTACCCCTCTACATCAAAAGTGGAAACCAAATTTCAACACATGGCTGCCTGTTAATACCAAAGAAACCAAATTGAAGTGAAAAATGGCCAAAGTGACGAAAGGTTATAAAATGTTTAGGACAAACAGCAAATAAAGTTATATGCTGTTTATTTATTTATTTTTTGAAAGAGTTTCTGAGTGAGAGGGAAAGATACAAAGAGAGATCTTCCATCTGCTGGTTCACTTCCCAGGTGACCCAACAGCTAGGGCTGGGCCAGGCCAAAAGTCAAAAGCCAGGAGCTTCCTCCAGGTCTCCCACATGGGTAGCAAAGGCACAAACACTTGGGCCATCTCTGCTGACTTTCCCAGGCCACTATCAGGGAGCTGGATTGGAAGTGGAGCAGCCAAGACATGAACCAGTGCCCATATGGGATGCCGGCACTGCAGGTGGTGGCTTTACCTGCTGCACCACAATGCCAGTCCCTATGTACTATTTAACATTGGGAATATGTCCTGAGAAATGCATTGTTAGGTGATTTCATCATTGTGTGGATACTATGGAGTGGATTTATACAAACTAAGATGGGTACGATGTCACTAGGCAATATAATCTCTCTTTTTTTTAAGATTTATTTTATTTGCCGGCGCCGCGGCTCACTAGGCTAATCCTCCGCCTAGCGGCGCCGGCACACCGGGTTCTAGTCCCGGTCGGGGCGCCGGATTCTGTCCCGGTTGCCCCTCTTCCAGGCCAGCTCTCTGCTGTGGCCAGGGAGTGCAGTGGAGGATGGCCCAGGTGCTTGGGCCCTGCACCCCATGGGAGACCAAGAAAAGCACCTGGCTCCTGGCTCCTGCCATCGGATCAGCGCGGTGCCCCGGCCGCAGCGCCCCGGCCGCGGCGGCCATTGGAGGGTGAACCAACGGCAAAGGAAGACCTTTCTCTCTGTCTCTCTCTCTCACTGTCCACTCTGCCTGTCAAAAAAAAAAAAAAAAAAAAAAAAAAAAAGATTTATTTTTTATTTGAAAGACAGAGTTACAGAGAGAAGTAGAGACAGAGAGAAAGGTCTTCCATCCGCTGGTTCACTCCCCAAATGGCTGCAACGGCTGGAGCTGCGCCGATCTGAAGCCAGGAGCCAGGAGCTTCTTCCTGGTCTCCCACGTGGGTGCAGGGGCCCAAGGACTTGGGCCATCTTCTACTGCTTTCCCAGGCCATAGCAGAGAGCTGGATCAGAAGAGGAGCAGCCGGGACTAGAACCAGTGCCATTATAGGATGCCGGCACTTCAGGCCAGGGCATTAACCCACTGAGCCACAGCGCCAGCCCCGGCAATATAATCTCAAAAAGACCACTGAAATGTTGCTACGTGGCACACGACTGTAGCAACTCTGGACAAACCCAGGTTTACTAGGGAGCACAAGCAGGACTGACAAAAACAATACAGCCACGCAAATGGCCTGCTATGGAAAACCTCTTGGCCCCCGTGGGTCTAAGACACTGCGCCCATGTACGAGACACTAGAAGCAAGTAGACAGACTGCACAAGAAGCTCTGAGCTACAGCAAGCAGCCATACTACGAAGCCTCTCTGTTTTGTTTCAAAGATGCTCTCCCCTGCCCGAGACATGGAGAACTCAAAAGACAGCAGTGGGAGAAGTCACCAACCCATCCCTCCTGCCTCCGTGAGATGCACCTAACACCTGGCCGTTGGAGACTTGCTGTTACCTCAGGCACTACTGGCAGGGACCAGGAGGAGCCCAAAAGACACCAGAAAAGCAAGATTAAAATATAATTATATTACTGTTGGAACCACAGCCCACACAAGACAGCCAAGGCCTACAAGCTAAATATAAACAAGGTGTCTACCTCCCAAAATAAAAGATTTAAATATAATCCTGAGTCCTTTACATAACAGACAAGATGTATAGGATACTACAAACAATTACCCATCATATCAAGAACCAAGAAAATCATAATCTAAATGAGAAATAGAAAAAAAAACCCACCTGGAATCCTATGAGTTGATCAAGATGGATCAGATCCAACATGGGAAGCAGGCCACACAGCAGACTCATAGAATGACAAATACCAGCACTCTGGCCTCAGAATCAGCCCTTAATGCATTCAGATCTGGCTAAAAAGCCCATGAGAGCATTTCAAGCATGGAAAGTTAAGACACTGTGGCAAAAAATGACCTACATGAATGATCTTTGTGAGTGAGATCCCAGCGGAAAGAAGGGGCCATCAAAGAAGGAGGTACCTTTCTCTGAAGGGAGGAGAAAACTTCCACTTTGATTATGGCCTTGTCGGAGTTTGTGAACTCAAGAGACTTCCATAGCCTTGGCAGCCCATGACAAGAGCCTTGGGTGATTACTGATGTCATAAATGAGAGTGTCAGTTGTTAAATCAACAACGGGAGTCACTGTGCACTTGCTCCCCATGTAGGACCTCTGTCCTTAATGTGTTGTACTATGAGAATTAATGGTAAAACTAGTCTTCAAACAATACTTTATACTTTGTATATCTGTGTGGGTACAAACTGTTGAAATCTTTACTTAGTAGAGAGTTGATATTCTGTATATAAAGATAGTTAAAAATTAATCTTAATGAAGAATGGGATAGGAAAGGGAGTAGGAGATGGGCTGGTTTGTGGGTGGGAGGGTGGGTGTGGGGAGGAAGAACTGCTATAATCCAAAAGCTGTACCTATGAAATTTATATTTATTAAATAAAAACTTTCTAAAAAATGAAAAAGATGGATCATAAGTTGGAATATCTGACAAAGACTTCAAAGGAGCTGTCCATAAAAATGCTTCAATGTTTGATGAGAAATTCTTTTGAATCAAATGAACAGATAGAAAAAAACTGATAAAACCTCTAGTGAGATTAAAAAAGACAAAAAAAAAAGGCAGATCCAAAGGACTAATCAACAATAAAACACGGAATATCACTACAGATTTTGCAGATATTGAAAAGATAACAAAAGAATATAATGAACAGGGCCAGTGCTGTGGCGTAGTAGGTTAAGCCTCCGCCTGTAGCACCAGCATCCCATATGGGAACCACCTGGAGTCCAGCTGTTCCTTTACTGATCCAGCTCTCTGCTTATTGCCTAGGAAAGCAGTGGAAGATGGCGTAAGCTCTTGGGCCCCTGCACTCACACAGAAGACATGGAGGAAGCTCCTGGCTCCTGGCTTCGGATCAGCCCAGCTCTGGCCGTTGTAGCCATTTGGGGAGTAAACTAGTGGATGGAATATCTCTCCCTCTCTAATTTTGTAATTTTGCCTCTCAAATAAATAAATAAATCTTTTTTTTAAAAAAAGAATATAATGAACAAATTTGCCCTCATAAATTTGACAAATTAGAAAATAATGGACTAATTCCTCAAAACCCACAAACTTCCAAAATCCAACAAAGATAAAATGAATGACACAAATAGATTTAAAACCATTATAAAAATTTAATTCATAGTAGTAGGCATTTGGTACAGCGATTAAGACACTCACATTCCATATAAGCATCCCTGTGTTTGAGTCTTGGCTCTGCTTCCAATTCAGCCTCCTGCTAATGTGCATTCTGGGAGGCAGCAGGTGATGGTTTACGAACTTGAGTTGCTGCTACCTTTGTGGGAGACCTGGACTCAGTCCCAAGCTCCTGGCTTCAGCCTGGCCTAGCTCTGGCTGTTGCAGGCATTTCGGGAGTGGATGTGGAGCAGTGGATAAAGGAACAGTGGATAAAAGAGCTAGTGTGTTCTCTCTCTCTCTCTCCCCTTCTCCCTCTCCCTCTCTCTCTTTCCCTCTCTCCTTCTCTCCCTGTGTGTATGTAGGTGCCTTTTAAATAAATAAAAATAAATTTGAAAAAAAAAAACACAAAAATAAAACAAATTGAATTTATAATTTAAAAAAACTCCTGAAAAAGAAACTCCAAGTTCACATGGCCCTATGACACTTTTACCAAACTTCCAAAGAAGAAGAATAACATCAATTTCTCCCAGGGATAGAAGGGGGTGGGGTGGGGGGCGACTTCTTAACTCATTTGATGAAGAAAGTATTAGCTTGTTACCCAAACCAGATAAAGGCAGTATCAAAAAAAGAAAGGAAACTACTGACCAATAGTGTTCATGAACTTCGATTCAAAAATCCTCTACAAAAGATAAGCTGATTTAATTCAGCAATTTATTCAAAAATTATACACAGCAAATGGTACTGGAACAACATCCATAGGCCACAGGAAAAAAAAGTGGGGAGGGAAGAAGAAAAGGAGAGAAAAAGAAATGACCTAAATGTCACACCTTATACAAAAGTGAGCTCAGAGGACAGACTCAAATATAACACATAAAGCTGTAAGACATCTAAAAGAAAAAAGGTCAGAATAAAAATCTTCAAGAATAAAAGCTAAGGAAAGAGTTCTTAGATTGGACATCAAAAGTATGATCCAGCAAAGACTAATCAAATGCACCTCACCAAAATTAAAATTTTTGATCTGTAAAAGGCCCTATGGAGAGGATGCAAAGACAAGCCATAGACTTGGAGAACGTATTTGCAAATGACATATCTGGCAAAGACCTAGTATCTAGAACATATGAAGAACTTTTTAAAAACTCAACAGTAAAAAAACAAAGCATTCATTTAGAAAATGAGCAAAATGCATGTATACACATTTAACCAACAAGGATTTACACATAGCAAGTCAGTGTGCAAAAAGACATTCAGCTAATTAAGACCTTCATGAGATATTACACCATTATCAGAAAGATTAAAATAAAAAATAGTGGCACCTCATACTGGCCACTCATTCACTCTGTGAAATGGCACAGTCACTTTGGAAAATGGATGGATGTTTTCCTTAAAATTAAGCATTCAATTATCATGACTCAGCAATTATACTCTTGGACAATTATTTTAAATAAATGGAAATTTACACTTATATAAGCTTTGTGCATGAATGTATGTAACTGCTTTATGTGTAATAGCCAAAAATTAGAAATGATTTAGGTGTCCTTCAACAGGTAAGTGTTTAAACCATCTGTGGCACATCCATCTCTTGGATTGTGACTTAGACAGAAAAAGGAATCAAGGAATACTGGCATATGCAGAATCTTAGATGAATCTCCAGTAAATTATGCTGAGTGTAAAAGTAGTCAACTCCAGGGGCTGGCGCTGGCTCACTTGGTTAATCCTCCGCCTGCGGCACCGGCATCCCATATGGGCACTGGGTTTTAGTCCCGGTTGCTCCTCTTCCAGTCCAGCTTTCTGCTGTGGCCCGGGAGGGCAGTGGAGGATGGCCCAGGTGCTTCGACTCCTGCACCCGCATGGGAGACTAGGAGGAAGAACCTGGCTCCTGGCTTTGGATCGGTGCAGTGCCAGCCGTAGCGGCCATTTTGGGGGGTGAACCTACGGAAGGAAGACCTTTCTCTCTGTCTCTCTTTCTCACTATCTATATCTCTACCTGCCAAATAAATTTTAAAAAAAAGGATCCCAGGCTCTATTAAAAAAAAAATAGTCAACTCCAGAAGGATACATACAAGTCCATTGCTATAAATGGCAACACTGTAGAAATACAGACCCTGGTAGTTGTCCAGGGTTAGAGAAGGGTTGCAGTGGGTGAGCACAGTATAAAAGGGCAACATGAAGGACCATGTGATGATGGAAACATGAACTCACATAGGGATATGGACCTAAATACAATACTGGAACAATCTAAATAAGACCTGTGGATTGTATCAACCTTAATAGCCTGGCTTCCATATCATACTATTATTTTACAAGATGTTACCATTGGGAGAAATGCTGTGAAGGGTAGGTATATGGAGGTTATGTGAATGCACAATTATCTTAATACAATTTCAATTTAAAAATCCAACAGGTTTAGGGCTTTTAAAATTACACTATGCAGATTTAGTTTTCTTTCATTGCCATGCATTGAGGGAAAACCAATAAGAGTCAAACTACTTTGTTCACCAGTACCTGCATGGAGAACTTTCTTTCTCTGAATCTTTTGATTTGAAAGGTCCCCTGGTACTTTCAGCATCTTTAACGAAGTGGTTTGTGCTGATTCAACATCAGATTGAGGTTTTGCACATTTTTCTGGTGTTGAAATTATTGAAGAGATTTCCTTCTGATGCCTGTTTTGATTTAGATTTTAAAAAGAGATTAAATAAAAAAGGAGAGGAAAAAGAAATTTGCTGTCAAGAAAGCAGAGTTAAGTCAACACACTCATGTTACACATTGCAGATTTCAAGAAGAGATTTGGATTAACGTGAGAAGAGTCATTTCTCATTGCCCAGGCAAAAGAGTGGATGAGGGGACGGTGGGCTCAGCCCTGGAGTCACAAGACACCACTCACATCACAGGTCTATTCCTTCCCTCGAAGTCACTCAACCCTCCCTAAACGTCTTTCCTTTTCTCATCTATAAACTGCAGGAAACTTCACCAGTGCACCTCTACAAGAGGCTGGTGTGAGGACTACAATGAGGCAGAGCTGGTTAAAAACATACGAGCATTATAGGGATCCACGTCTCTTACCCAAGAGTCAACTAGCAAGCTGTTAGAAAAGCTAGAGAGGCCAGCGCCGCGGCTCACTAGGCTAATCCTCCGCCTAGCGGCGCCGGCACACCGGGTTCTAGTCCCGGTTGGGGCACCGGATTCTGTCCCAGTTGCCCCTCTTCCAGGCCAGCTCTCTGCTGTGGCCTGAGAGTGCAGTGGAGGATGGCCCAGGTGCTTGGGCCCTGCACCCCATGGGAGACCAGGAGAAGCACCTGGCTCCTGCCATCGGATCAGCGTGGTGCGCCGGCTGCAGCGCGCTGGCCACGGCAGCCATTGGAGGGTGAACCAACGGCAAAAGGAAGACCTTTCTCTCTGTCTCTCTCTCTCACTGTCCACTCTGCCTGTCGAAAGAAAAGAAAAGCTAGGGAAAGAAAATTCCTACTTTAGGCCGGCACCGCGGCTCACTAGGCTAATCCTCCACCTAGCAGCGCCGGCACACCGGGTTCTAGTCCCGGTTGGGGTGCCGGATTCTGTCCCGGTTGCCCCTCTTCCAGGCCAGCTCCCTGCTGTGGCCAGGGAGTGCAGTGGAGGATGGCCCAAGTGCTTGAGCCCTGCACCCCATGGGAGACCAGGAAAAGCACCTGGCTCCTGGCTCCTGCCATCGGATCAGCGTGGTGCGCCGGCCGCAGCGCGCCAGCCGCGGCGGCCATTGGAGGGTGAACCAACGGCAAAGGAAGACCTTTCTCTCTGTCTCTGTCTCTCACTGTCCACTCTGCCTGTCAAAAAAAAAAAATTCCTACTTTGGACCTCCCGTGCCAGTACCAGATCTCAGGGAACCATTCAGGGGAAGATCTGGGACCAGGAGGGATCCAGAAATGCTTGAGTGTTTTCCCAGACATTTCTTTCTGTGAAGCTTCTCTGAACATAAAAGTCACAAAAAGAAAGTTTCCAGAACCATCTCCTGCCTTAATATAAAGGGTGGCTTCCCTCCTCTGCGAGTCCTCCTAGACCTACACTGAATACCTCCACGGAGCATCTAATCCATCTTCCACACATAAACCTTGCTGTGACTGTACCCACACTGCATCCATGGCGGAAGGACCAGGCTTACATTCATTTGTGCAACCCTGTTCTCCTGGTATGTGATTTGTATTCACTAATTCTTTGGGGAAAAAAATAAAAGATCCCGGGGCTCTAACATTTCTGTCACCTGGTAGAAAACTTGAAAAAGCCAGTTGGTTGTTGACTGTAGATAATTAACTTTTCCTGAAGTTACAAGGAATCTAGAAGCATAATACCTATAGAAGGAGGCATTGCCTCTTTACTCTTTATTCTTGCCTTTATGTAAAGTCAGAACTCACTCCACAACAGGTCTACTGTCACTGAATCCACCCCAGAGCCCTGTAACTATCACTTTACTGGTGTCACAGGTGAGAGAACCGGGGTTCAACAACTTGCCCAAAATCATCTCGCATGTAATGGTTGCAACATTAAAATGCTGCTCTGACTCCAAAATCTGCTCCCTTTAGTTCCCAAAAAGAAAGAAAAGCCAGCACCACGGCTCAATGGACTAATCCTCCACCTGCAGCGCCGGCACACCGGGTTCTAGTCCCGGTCAGGGCACCGGATTCTGTCCCGGTAGCCCCTCTTCCAGGCCAGCTCTCTGCTGTGGCCTGGGGGTGCAGTGGAGGATGGCCCAAGTGCTTGGGCCCTGCACCTGCATGGGAAACCAGGAGAAGCACCTGGCTCCTGGCTTCGGATCAGCACAATGCTCCGGCTGCAGCACGCCGGCCACAGTGGCCATTGGAGGGTGAATCAAGGGAAAAGGAAGACCTTTCTCTCTGTCTCTCTCTCTCACTGTCCACTCTCCTTGTCAAAAAAAAAAAAGATAGAAAGAGAAAAGACTACATCCTCTATTTAAGCAAACAGCAGACAGCCGACTGACCAATTTCAACTTTCAAATAACAGCTGGTCATTTTTCCCCCAAGTTTTTTTTTTTTTTTTTTTTTTAGTTTGATTAAATCAGGGGAAGAAGATAAAGTAGTGGCTGACATAGTGAGAAGGTAATTTACACTTATGGGCTGCTCGTTTTCTTTAGTCTTAAATTCTTGGTTCACATTTTCTGAGTTTAGAAGATTTAAGAGGCAGGCCGGCGCCACAGCTCACTAGGCTAATCCTCCGCCTAGCAGCGCCGGCACACCGGGTTCTAGTCCCGGTTGGGGCGCCGGATTCTGTCCCAGTTGCCCCTCTTCCAGGCCAGCTCTCTGCTGTGGCCAGGGAGTGCAGTGGAGGATGGCCCAAGTCCTTGGGCCCTGCACCCCATGGGAGACCAGGAAAAGCACCTGGCTCCTGGCTCCTGCCATCGGATCAGCGCGGTGCACCGGCTGCGGCGGCCATTGGAGGGTGAACCAACGGCAAAAGGAAGACCTTTCTCTCTGTCTCTCTCTCTCACTGTCCACTCTGCCTGTCAAAAAAAAAAAAAAAAGATTTAAGAGGCATCTTCAAAAAGTTCATGGAAAATATGAATTATGAAAAATATATGCAAGGATTTCAAATATTTTTGTACCAAAATAAACCTATTATTTAATTCCTTTTCTCCAACCAGCTTTCAGAAGTGCCTTGTATCTGTGCTTTCCCAAATACTTAAAATATAAGGCTGTAGGGCCCACGCCATGGCTCACTTGGTTAATCCTCTGCTTGCGGCACCGGCATCCCATATGGGCACCGTTTCTAGTCCCGGTTGCTCCTCTTCCAGTCCAGCTCTCTGCTGTGGCCCGGGAAGGCAGTGCAGGATGGCCCAAGTGCTTGGGCCCTGCACTCGAATGGGAGACCAGGAGGAAGCACCTGGCTCCTGGCTTCGGATCAGCACAGCGCACTTGCCATAGCAGCCATTTGGGGGTGAACCAATGGAAGGAAGACCTTTCTCTTTGTCTCTCTCTTTCACTGTCTAACTCTGCCTTTCTAATAATAGTAATATATATATATATACACACACACATATATATGGCTGTAAATCTCATTTTAAGTAAGCCCATTATAACACTGATCTCTTTTTTCTGATTTTATGTCCAGGCCCTGCCCCCAGAACAATTAGTTTTCAATTAACTAATAGCAAGAAAGTGAATTTTGATGAACAGAAGTTCTGATTAATAAATATATTTTCAGCTTCTTTCTATTTTGCTGTCACTCTTTCAAATAAAAAATGTTCCTGCCAGGGTAGGCTGTGACTCTTGAATAACTATACAACGTTAAATCATTTCAGGAAAAGTTGGCATATTTCTTGCATGTTTGGAGTTGTTTTGATTTTGACTTGAAAATCTACCAGTTAGAAACGTATCAGAATTTTAAGTACAGAGTGGGGAAAGACTTGAGAAATTGTCTAGTCCAAACCCTACTGTCACAGTCACCATTTTAAAGATGAGGAACAGACCCACAGCCCTGGAGAGGTGTGCACAGAAGTTAAGGCACCGGCCAAGGTCACAAAATGTGAAGGCCACACCTTGGGTCTGAGTCAGATCTCTTTCACTCACACATGGCCCGTCACTGCTTGGGTTGGAAGACCTGTCCACATTCAGTGGAGAGCACAAAGGGACACTCTCACCTCTTCAAGCCCTTTGTTATTAGTTACTAATTCACTTTGTTTTTCAAAAAATCTGAACTTAATTGTACGAGGTGATTCTTTTCACTAAAAGAAACCTCGTGAAGCATTTCAGAAAGGAAGTGGGTCAAGGAGAGTGAGTCGAGTGTGCGAGGGGACGCCCAGCGGTGGGGATAACAGGCGGTTTGACAGGCTCACTTGTCTCCTTCCTTTTCCCCGTTGTACCACCAGTCCATGATCAAAGACTCGGAATAGAGGGTCTGCACTCTCTCCAGGTCTCTGTATCCCTGCTCCATTTCCTGAACTAGAAGAGTCAGATCTTCATTCTGCCAAAAAGGAAAAGTGAATACATCATAAGCTTCTATAAAAGGGTTCAGAGTTCAAATATTTCTAGCAGAAAGCCGACTGTCTCAAGAAAAGACAGATCTAAAGGTGTTCATGTAGTTTTTTTTTTTAAAGAATTATTCATTTATTTGAAAGTCAGAGCTACACACAGAGAGAGGAGAGGCAAAAAAAGAGAGAGAGAGAGAGACGGGGTGGGGGGCAGGCCTTCCATCCGATGGTTCACTCCCCCGTTGACCACAACGGCTGGAGCTGCGCTGATCCGAAGCCAGGAACCAGGAGCATCCTCCGGGTCTCCCACATAGGAGTAGGGGCCCAAAGACCTGGGCCACCTTCTACTGCTATCCCAAGTCACAGCAGAGAGCCAGATCAGAAGTGGAGCAGCTGGGTCTCGAGCTGGCGCACATATGGGATGCTGGCGCTTCAGGCCAGGGCGTCAACCCACTAAGCCACAGCGCTGGCCTTTATGTAGTTCTTACATTAACCCATTCAGCTTTATGGACATAGACTTCACATACAATAAACTGAACGTGTATAATAGTATAACATTGAAAAGTTCTGACATTCACACTTGTGAAAGCATCCTCAGTCAAGATAAAGAATATCGGGGCCAGCTCCGTGTTACCGAAGGTTAATCCTCTGCCTACGGCGCCAGCATCCAATATGGGCGCTGGTTCTACTCCCAGCTGCTCCTCTTCCAATCCAGCTCTCTGCTGTGGCCTGGGAAAGCAGTAGAAGATGGCGCAAGTGCTTGGGCCCCTGCACCCACATGGGAGACCCGGAAGAAGCACCTGGCTCCTGGCTTTGGATTGGTGCAGCGCCGGCCGTGTCGGCCATCTGGGGAGTGAACCAACAGAAGGAAGACCTTTCTCTCTGTCTCTCCCTCTCACTGTCTGTAACTCTACCTCTCAAATAAATAAATAAAATCTTTAAAAAAAAAAAGACGATATCCATCACCCCAAAAGTTCCCGTATATCCCATTAGAATGAGCATGTCTACAACCCCCAAAAGTTCTTTTGTACACCATTACAAGTCTGTATTTATATAAATATAGAAATTACTCATCAGCTTTCTATCACCACACATTAGTTTCAGTTTTCTTGATTTTTATATTAATGTATTCCTAGAACATGTACTCTTTTATTCTGGCTTCCTTCTCTCATATAGGTGGAGTAACCCTTATATAAATGTTTGGGTCAAACATGTCTTGATTTCCAGATTTTGGAATATTTGCACTTACATGTGATATCTTGGGAATGAGATCCAATCTAAATATAAAATTCATTTATGTTTCATATCTACCTTATATATTTAGCCTAAAGGCAATTTTATAATATTTTTAGTGTATCTGAATTTTGATTGCAACTTCTCACATGAGGACACTGTGGAATTTTTCACTGGTGGAATCATGTCAACAATTTGATTAGAGATGTTCAACTTGTACATTTATTTTGAGATTCACCAGTGCTGCAGAGTCAATCAATAGCTTATGTGTTTCTAGTGCTGGGTAGTATTATACTATACACTAAATACCAAAGTTTATTTATCCATTCACTTGTTGATGGACATTTGAGATGTTTTCAGATCTCAGGTATTATATAATAAACACATGAACATTTGTGTACAAGTCTTTGTATGAATATTTGCTATCATTTCTCTTTTGCAAACTAGTGGGTGACATCATTGCATCACATGAATGTCAATGTCAAACATTTCTTTTACAAGATGTATTTATTGAGGCTGGCGCTGGGGTGTAGCAGGTGGGACCACTACCTGTGGTGCCAGCATGCCATATGGGCGCTGGTTTGAGTACCAGCTGATCCACTTCCAAACCAGCTCCCTGCTAATGTGCCTAGGAAGGCAGTGGAGGATGGCCTAAGTCCTTGGGCCCCTGCACCCATGTGTGGGACCTGGAAGAAGCTCCTGGTTCCTGGCTCTGGATGGGCCAAGCTCTGTCCATTGCAGCCATTTGGGGAGTGAGCCAGTGGAAGGAAGATCTCTCTCTCTCTCTCTCTCTCTCAGAGAGGGAGAAAGAGTATACCATCTGCTGGTACACTCTCCAAGTGGCTGCAATGGCCAGGGCGGGGCCAGGCCAAAGCCAGGATCTTTTTCCAGGTCTCCCAACTGGGTGGTAGGGGCCCAAGCACTTGGATCATTCATTGCTGCTTTTCCCAGGCCATTAGCAGGAAGCTGGAAAGGATGTGGAACAATCGGGATACAAATCAGTGCCCAAATAGGATGCTGATGTTGCAAGCGGCAGCTTTACCTGCTACACCACAGCACTGACCCCAATACCCAACTTGTGATGAAACTACCAAACTGCTTTGTAAAGTTGTTGTGCCAGTTTACATTCCTCAAGTGACGTAGGAGAGTTACAGTAACCCCTCCCCCAGCTCTTGCGTTCTTGGCATAGTCAGCATTCTCATTTTAGCCATTCTGATACCTTTAATCATAGCTTTCATTTGCATTTGCCTAATCACTAATGATGTCAGGAGAATTGTTTTAAAGTTTGACAAAACTGTACTTGCAGTAATACTGATACACCCATTTTTTTCTTTTGTTCTTTGATTTTTAAAAAAATTTTAGCTCCTACAAATAAGAGAAAAAATGTGGCATTTGTCTTTATGTGTCCTTTTTATATTCTTATTTGATATGCATATATCTTTTTGGTGAAGTGTATGTTTAAATATTTTGCCCATTATTTGAGTTTACTCATTATTTTTTTAAGATTTATTTATTCATTTGAAAGTCAGAGTAACACAGAGAGAGGAGAGGCAGAGAGAGAGTGAGGCCCTCCATCTACTGGCTCACCCCCCAAATGGCCGCAATGGCCGGAGCTGAGCCAATCCAAAGCCAGGAGCCAGGAACCTCCTCCAGGTCTCCCATGCGGGTGCAGGGGCCCAAGGACTTGGGCCATACTCTACTGCTTTCCCAAGCCACAGCAGAGAGCCGGATCGGAAGTGCAACAGCCAGGTCTCGAACTGGCGCCCATATGGGATGCCAATGCTTCAGGCCAGGGTGTTAACCCGCTATGCCAAAGCACCGGCCCCCACTATTGGTTTTGTGAGATACTTATATATTCTGTACATAAACCCTTTATTAAGTAAATAATTTAAAAATTTTCTCCCAATTTAGTTTGTCTTTTAATTGTCATAACATTTTTAAGAAAAGATGTCTTTAATTTTGTTCAACTCCAATGTATCAATTTATTCTTCTATGGATTACACTTTTGATATCTAAAATTTTTTTGTCTAACACAAAGTCACAAAGAATTTTTCCAATATTCTTCTCAAGGAAGAGAAAAACACAGATTTCATGCTTTGGTTCATGAATCCTTTTGTGTTAAATTTTGAATATGCTGTGAGGCATGGATCATTTATTTGCATATGAATATTCAATTGTTCTATCATTTGTTGGGGGAAAATATTGTCCTTTCTTGATTAAATTGCCTTTGAAGTTTTGTTGAGGGTCAGTTGTCCGTATGAGTCAGTCTGTTTCTGGTTTATCTATCCCACTGTGTCAATCTAAGTGGTATCTTTACCCTAATTTCACACTGTCTTGATTACAATGGCTTTATATGTCTTGAAACATATAGTGTTGACTCCCTGACTTGGCTTTTTTTCACAGCTGTTTTGATCATTCTAAATCCTTTGCATTTCCACAAAATCAGTTAAATTTTTTTAAGTCTACTTGGATACATTTTAAAAATATTATTTATTTTGGGATTCCGGCAAGATGGCGGAATAGGAAGGGAGCACACTGATAGTCTGGGGAGAGATAGTTTAAGAAAAGTGGAGATACTGCAGGTTCAAGGAAGAGTAGGGGAGGAAACAGCAGAAGAAACTCTTCCGGAACGCGTGACTCACAGCGGACCTGCGTGGAGAGCGTGGGAGCCCACAGTTCGGGACACCAGCGGCAGACTCAACACACCAGCGCTGGAACGCGAGGTGAGCCGAACCTCAATAGCCCGAGACACTGGCAGGCAAGCGGAGAGAGGAGACTAGAGGGAACGACCCCCGGGGGGGGAAGTTCACAAGGCTAACTGGAAGAGAGAGAGAGAGAGAAAAAAAAAAGGGTGACTAGTATGGACACGGGTTTCTCTCTCTCCGCTCACCTCTCAAGGGCGAGCAAGACAAACAGCAGGCGCCATCTTGGACATACGTCATAAGCAGAGCGACCTCAGGTCTGCACTGGCCCTGAGCCTAGCAGAAAAACCTGACTCTGGGCGGGGCGAATTAACAGGAGATTAGGACCTAGTAAATTTGTGGTGCTACTGAACTGAGACTGTGAAAAAAGAGACGGTGGGGGAGAGAACTCACGGAATTCATGTGAGCACTCTCCAGAGACGCTACAATTCCGTAACTTTGGCAACCCAGTGGGAGGCTGAAGGAGAATTTGAGCCCACTCTGAGGGCCGAACAGATTCCCTGTGGGGATCTTGGGAAAGAGCTTCCGATCTCTGGCTCCTGTGGGTATATCATTTGCCTGCTAACTACCTCCAACTTCGTTCAGCTGTGCGGAATTACTTCACACTTTTGAATCAAAAAAAAAAAAAAAAAAAAAAAAAAAAAGAAAGAGAG